CTCCCACTGTCTACTAGAAATCATCACCTGGTACCTTAAACTTAACACTGTCAAAAAATGAACTCATCATCTTTCCAAACCTGTGCCTCTTTTAGGTTTTTCTATTTCTAATGAAAGCATTACCATTCTCTCAGTCATCCCAATTCAAAATTTCAAAGTTTTCTTTGATTTCTTTGTTGCTCTGGCCCCTACATTCAATTTGTTTCCAAGTACTGTCAAATCGACCTCTGTACCAGCAATCTAATGTACGTCTTTCTCTCCAGTCATAATTCTACCACCATGGATCAGGATGTCATTGTACCCTGCCTGGACTATTGTAACAGCATCCTAATCACTATCCCCACCTCCAATCTCCTTTGTTCCAATCTATCCTTTGCCCATACCTCAAAACAATCTTCATAATGTGCAGGCCAGGGCGTATTTCTTTCTCGCTCAAAAACGTTCAGTTGTTTCTCATTACCATTAGGACAAAATGCAGACATTTCAACTTCATATTCGAAGCCATTCACAGTCTGCCTCCACCTTATCTTTACGTGCATATTTCTGTCAAATTCCCTTTGCACACTCCATATTCTGGTCAAATTGGATCAATTGCTTCTCCCTTGTCTCCTTCTACCTGCCCCTTTGCATTTGCTCAGGCCATCTCACCACTTTCTTCACTTGTCAAAACTTTCTTTCAAGGGTCCCCCCTGTTTTTATACCTTCCATAAAGACTTCCTTGACTTATGATGAAAAATACTATCCACCTCTAGAGAAAGAACTGAGAGTCTGAATGCAAATCAAAGCATACTCTTATTCACTTTCTTTATTGTGTGTTTATTTTTAGTGGCTGTGTTATTTGTGTCTTTTCCCAACATGACTAATATAGAAATATGTTTTGCCAGATTGCACATGTATAACCCATGTCAAATTGCCTACCATTTCAGGGAGGGGGTGGGGAGAAGGAAGAGAATTTAGAACTCAAAATAGAAAAAAATGAACGTTAAAAATTGTTTTTACACATAATTGGGAAAAATAAAATATTATTAAAGGAAAAAAAAAAGACTTCCTTGATGCCTCAATAGGATTGTAGACTCAGAGCTGGAAGGGACCTTAGTATTCTTATAATCCACACTCCTTACTCCTATAGATAAAGAAACTGACTGGTCTAAGGTCACGTAAGTAGTAAATGGCAAAACCAGGATTTGAACTAAAATAGTCTAACTTCAAATCCAAAACTCTTCTCAGTTTACTGTACTGCTGCTTCTCCCTCCCTGAATTTTCTTACAACACTCTCTTTGGAGCCCTTTGCTTGTACTTATTAAACTGGACTTCCCATTATGTTTGCTTGCATGCCTCCTAAACCCCTCCCCAATAGTAGTAATAGCAGACACTCATAGAGCACATCTGCAAGCTTAAAGAGTTTTCTTATTTTTTTTAAAATATTTTTATTAATAAATTTATTTATTTTTAATTTTCAACGTTTACTTCCACAAGATTTTGAGTTCCAAATTTTTACCCTGTCTCACCCCTCCCCCCACCCAAAGATGGCATGCATTCTGAATACCCCTTCCCCTAGTCTGCCTTCCCTTCTATCTCTCCTCCCCTTCTCTTATCCCTGTCTCCTTCTACTTTACTGTAGGGCAGGATAGATTTCTGGGCCCCATTTCCTGTATTTCTTATTTCCCAGTTGCATGTGAAAACATTTTTTTAAGCATGTGTTTTTAAAACTTTGGGTTTCAAATTTTCTCCCTTCCTCCCTCCCCACCCACCCTCATTGAAAAGGCAAGCAACTCAATATAGGTTATACATGTGCAGTTATGTAAAACACTTCCATAGTTGACATGCTGTGAAAAACTAACTCTATTTCCCTTAATCCTATCCTGCCCCCCCATTTATTCTAATCTTTCTTTTGACCCTATCCCTCCTCAGAAGTATTTGCTTCTGATTACTCCCTTTCCCAATCTTCCCTCCTCTCTATCATTCCCCTACTCTCTTGTCCCCTTACCCCCATATTTTCCTGTAGGGTAAGACAGATTTCCATACCCTATTGAGTGTGTATGTTATTCCCTCCTTAAGTCAAATCCTATGAGAATAAGATTCACTTATTCCCTCTCACCTTCCCCCATTTCCCCTCCACTGCAAGAGCCTTTTCTTTTCTGTTTTACCTCATTCTGCCTCTCCCTTTCTCCTTCCCCTAGTATAATCCTCTCTCACCCCTTAATTATATTCTCCAGATAAGACCCCTTCATCTTCAACTCACCTTGTGCCCTCTATCTATCTATCTATCTATCTATCTATCTATCTATCTATCTATATACATACATATAATTTTTTCCCTCCAACTACCCTAATACTGACAAAGGTCTCATGAGTTACAAATATCATTTTTCCATGCAGGCATGTAAACAGTTCAACCTTGATAAGTCTCTTAAGATTTCTCTTTCCTGTTTACCTCTTCATGTTCCACTTGAGTCTTGTATTGGAAAGTCAAATTTTCTGTTCAACTCTGGTCTTTTGATCAAGAATGCTTGAAAGTCCCCTATTTCACTGAATGACCATTTTTTCCCCTGAAGGATTATACTCAGTTTTGCTGAATAGGTGATTCTTGGTTGTAATCCTATCTCCTTTGCCCTCTGGAATATTATATTCCATGCCCTTCACTCCCTTAATGTAGAAGCTGCTAAATCTTGTGTTATCCTGATTGTGTTTCCATAATACTTGAATTGTTTCTTTCTGGCTGCTTGTAATATTTTCTCCTTGACCTGGGAACTCTGGAATTTGGCTACAATATTCCTAGGAGTTTTCCTTTGGGGATCTCTTTCAGGAGGAGATTGGTGGATTCTTTCCATTTCTATTTTGCCCTCTGGTTCTAAAATATCAGGGCAGTTTTCCTTGATAATTTCTTGAAAGAGGATGTCTAGGCTTTTTTTTTTTGATCATGGGTTTCACATAGTCCAATAATTTTTAAATCCTCTCTCCTGGATCTATTTTCCAGGCCAGTTGTTTTTCCAATGAGATATTTCACATTGTTTTCTAATTTTTCATTCTTTTGGATTTGTTTTACAGTGTCTTGATTTCTCATAAAGTCACTAGCTTCCAATTGCTCTATTCTAATTTTTAAGGAAGTATTTTCTTCAGCAATCTTTTGGACTTCCTTTTCCATTTGGCCAATTTTGCTTTTTAGGGCATTCTTCTCCTCATTGGCTTATTGGACCTCTTTTACCATTTGGGTTAGGCTATTTTTTAAGGGGTTATTTTCTTCAGTATTTTTGGGGTCTCCTTTAGCAAGCTGTTGACTTGTTTTTCATGATTTTCTTGCATCACTCTCATTTCTCTTCCCAGTTTTTCCTCTACTTCTCTTACTTGCTTCTCAAAATCCCTTTTGAGCTCTTCCAAGGCCTGGAACTGATTAATGTTTTTCTTGGAGGTTTTGGATGTTAGGAGCTTTAACTCTGTTGTCTTCTTCTGGTTGTATGTTTTGATCGTCTTTGTCACCAAAATAAGATAATATAGTCTGACTCTTTTTGTGCTGCTTACTCATTCATTATTTCAGCCAATTACTTGAGTTTTAAACTCTTTGTTAAGGCAAAAGTCTGTCTTATGACAGCCCCTCAGAACTGTGACCCAGATCCAAGCACAGGCAAAGCAAGGGATTCCTGCCTCAGCACTGGCAAAAAGATCCCTGTAATCCCCCCTCTGATCAGCCACTTGATTCCCCTCTGTCTGTGGGCCGGAAGCTCAGGAGGCAGCCCCTGCCCTGGCGCCGCACTTGGGACTTGCGGCTGAGACCTAGCTTCTCTCTCACGGAAGTCACAGACTTTTCCCACTGACCTTCTAAGTTGTCTTTAGCGTTCATGGGTTGAGAAGTCTGGAAACCGCCACAGCTGCCCGCAATTCAGTCCACTGAGGCCTGCTCCATGGTTGCTACAGCCTGTACACCCACGCCCAATTGTGCTTCTCTCCCCACTTGGCATGATATACCTTTCAGATTAACCATCCAGGCATTCTTGGGCTGGAAATTTGTTTCACTCTTTCTTTTTATGGGTTCTGCTGCTTTAGAATTTGTTTAGAGCCATTTTTTAACAGATATTTGGGGGGGTTTGGGGGGAGAACTCAAGCAAGCCACTGCTTTCACTCTGCCATCTTGGCTCCGACCCCCCTTAAAGAGTTTTCTATAACTTCTTTTGCAACTCTCAGAGTTACCCTGTAGGGTGGGTCCTACAAGTATCATCATCCCCATTTTCCAGGATATGAAACTGAAGGAGCTGAAAGTATTTGTCCAAGGTTATTCCTTGAGTAAATGGCAGAGTCAGAATCAAATTCAGACCTCTTGGATCCAAACCAGTGTTAATTCTGCCATATCACAGTAACTTTTCTACTAGGCTTTAAACTCCTCGAGGGCAGATGCTACATGTTTATTTTTCTTAATCATTGCATCCCCAATGTATGGTGTGGTTACCTACATGTAATTAGTATTAATGTCTGTTGAATTGAATTGAATTGAATCTTGATTGAATTGAATCAATTGAATTGAATCTTGGTCTCACATGTGCTAGATGGGGGGACTGGCAGAAAGCAGCTGTAGAAGAGGAAACATATTTTTCCTCTTAGCCCAGTAGAAAAATACCTGCTAGAGTTTGCTAGGTGGCACAGTGGATAAAGCTCTAGACCTGGAATCAGAAAGATCTGATTTCAAATTTGACCTCAGACTCTTACTAGCTGTGTGACCCTGGGCAAGTCACTTAACTTCTTACTGCATCAACTGTAAAATGGGAATAATAATAGTAACTATCGTGCAGGGTTGTTGTGTAGATCAAATGACATACTTGTAAAGCACTTAGTACAGAGTCTGACACATAGTAGGTGCTTAATAAGTATTGTTTCCCCTTCCTTTCCTTTGTTCTCTTCTCTTTTCCCCCTCCCTCTGTGTGGTCCTCCCTGCCCTGGGTTTCAGTTAGGTTGAACTAGATGTTGGAAGTCATCTCTAGGGCTAACATTTTAGGATTCTTTGGTTCCAGGTATTCCTTTCAAGATGAAGAAGACATGTTCATGGTGGTCGATTTGCTTCTAGGAGGGGATCTCCGTTACCACCTACAACAAAATGTGCATTTCAATGAAGGAACTGTGAAACTCTATATCTGTGAGCTGGCCCTTTCCCTTGACTACCTGCAGAGATACCATATAATCCACAGGTAAGCCAATCTTGGTTAATTTGAGGATGAGCAGAAGAGGTTACTGTAATAAGATGAGCTTTCTTTCCTGTTTCTAGGTGTTTTGTGGAAGGGATTTGAAAAATCTTCTATAATGAGGTAGAATGGCCATTGGGTTTTTATGCTATTCACTAGTTGAGGAATGAAAAGCTTTTTTTCCCCCATGATGTGAAAGTTAAAAATTAATGATTGCTTCATGGTGACTTTTTTATTCTCAGGAATGTTATTTGATTAGATCTTGGATCCAAGTTCCAACATGTCCTATGCTCCTATAATGCTTTCCTGCCTTCATAGAATTATAAAATAAATGGAGTTAGAACTGGATGGGACCTTAGAGATCATCCAGTCCAACCATACTGTTCTATAGAGAAGGAAACTGAAGGCTAGAGAGGGCAAGTTACTTGCCAAATCAATAGAAAAGCCAAGATCTGAAGCCAAATCATAGGATCAGAGAGTTAGAGGTAGAAGGGACCTCAGCTGCTACCCAGACCACCCTTCCTCATTATACTGATGAAGAAGTTGAGACTTTAGGATATTAAAAGTGTCCCAACTAATACATTTCAGAGGAGGTATTTGAACCATAGTCTTCCTCTCTTGAAGTCCAGAGCTCTACCCACTCCACTATACTGTCTGGTCTCTTTGATTAGATATTTTTAATGTAGAGGACTTAGTGACAATACTTGTTGCTGTTCAGTTGTTTTTATTTGTGTCTGACTCTTTGTGATCCCATTTTGGAGTTTTCTTGGCAAAGATACTGGAGAGGTTTTCCATTTCCTCCTCCAGCTCATTTTACAGATGAGGAAAATGAGGCAAACAGGGTTAAGTGACTTGCCAAGGGTCACACAGCCAGTGTCTAAGGTTAGATTTGAACTCTGAAAGAGGAGTCTTACTGACTCCAGGTCCAGCATTCTATTTATTGTACTGCCTATTTGTTTTGAAATTTGAAAGGTAAAAGGATTAGCTATGTTTAACTTGACTCCAGATAATAGAACTAGGAGCTTTGGGTAGGGGCTGCAGTGAGACAGATTTTGGCTCATTGTAAAAAGAAACTCCCCAGCAATGATAAGCTACCCTAAAGTGAGCCTTATTTCCTCAGAAAGGGGCATGTTCTGCAGAAGGTCTTCAAGTAGATACAGTATACCCATTTGTCTGAGATGATATGGTAGGGATTGACGTTTGAATACAAGTTGGACAATATGACCTCTGAGGTCCTGGTGCATGGCTTTTCATTGTGAATGGGAAGAATCACCATGTTTATTTATTTAAATAGGCTGGTTTTTAGTTGTCAGTGGTTCAAAGAGTCAGTAAACAATGAACAGAAGCATATATTTCCAAGATCAGAAAAAAAAATTTCACGTAACACATGAATCCTTTCTATAACATCTCTAAATAGTCATTCACCCTGGCCTTGAAGAACCCTAATGGGGGCAGCTAAGTGGCACAGTGGACAGAGCACTGGCCCTGGAGTCAGGAGGACCTGAGGTCAAATCCAGCCTCAAACACTTGACACTTACTAGCTGGGTGACCCTAGGCAAGTCACTTAACCCCACTGCCTAGCCAAAAAACAAACAAACAAAAACCCAAAACAAACAAAAAAAGAACCCTAATGATGGGAGATTCCTTGGTTCCACAGTTTTAGGAAAGGCATTGAGAAGCCGGAGCGTGTTGAGAGAAGGGTGGTGAAGGGATGATGAAGGGTCCTGAGGTTATCCAATTTAAGGATTGATTCAAGTTACCAGGGAAGGCTACCCTAGAGAACTGTAAGTTGAGGGAAGATATGAAAGCTGTCTTCAAGCATGTGAGAGGCAGTCTTATGGAAGAAAGATAGACTTGTTCTGCTTGACCTCATAGGGGAGAAACAGGAATCGTGGGATGAAAGCTGCAAAAGGAAAGCTTATGTTTGATTTAGGGGGAAAACAATAGCAAACTTTCCCCAAATTAGGGCTATCCAGATGTAGACTGCGTTCTTCCAGGAAATAGTAAGTACTTCTCTAATGGACTACATGCAAACTTAGGTGACAATTTGTCAACTCTGTTGCAGAGAAAATTCCTGATCAGTTGCTAAACTATGTCAGTGGAGGGAGTTTACACACCAGATGATCCCCCAGCTGTTTATTTAAGTCAATTCCTGCTCTTCCCTTGGATCTCTAGCCCCTACTGCCTCACCTACCCCCTATTTATTCCCTAGGCTTAGTCCTGGTTTTCTGATCACCTGCCTTTCTATTTTAGTGTGCATCAGTAACTTGGTTCTCCACCTATAGCTTCCTTCCCTGACAGCTTAGCTCAGATAGATTCCTTGGATGTTGATCCTGTCTTAACCTAAAGGACACTGGTCAGCTAGCAGATCTGGGGGTGGTCTTAGGAAGGCTCCTTAGCTTTCCTGAGGTCAGTTTTGTCTTCTATAAAAAGGGAGTAATGATACTTGCTGCCTATGTCAGAGAGGTACCGAGGGCATTAAATAAGAACCATTTCTAGAGGCATTTTATAATCTCTGAATTGCTAAATAAATGTATATTCAACAACAAAATCCTATTCAAACACTATGCTTAATATTAGAAATCCAAGAGACAAAAACAGAATCAGCCCTTGAGGTAACATTTTACATTAATTACATTTAGTTAAATTATATAAAACAGCTTTAATAATGAATAATAATAGCTTGTATTTGTATATAATGCTTTAAAGTTTGAAAAGGGCCTTACAAATATTATCTCATATGATCTTCATAACAACCCTGGAAAGTAGGTGTTATTGTTATCCCTATTTTATAGACGATGAAACTGAGGCAAACAGAGATCAAGTCACTGTCCACGGTCATACAACTAAGAAGTATCTGGGTCACATTTGAACTCAGGTCCTCCTAACTCCAGAGCCAATGTTTGACCTCTGTAATCACCTAGCTGACTCTAGCAGGGGACTTTCTATTATGTCAAAAGGAAAAAGATGCTTCCTCTTTTTCTGGCAAAATCCCTCTACTTTCTACCAGTCACCCTATGACACCTCATGTTACTGATGTTATTTTTGTGATTATTCCTGAATCCCCTAATTCCAAGTCCAGCATGTTTCCTATTACCCTACACTGCCTCCCTTGATCATTCAGACCGGTTTCACATCTATCATCTGTGATTTTCCCTGCCCTGGGAGTGCTTGTTTATAATAGCTAGATCATCAAATTCATACCAAAGTAGATTTGGAGAGCAAATTCTAAATTGCTTGGAAAGCAGTGGCCATGAATACCATAGGGCCAAAGAAAGACTGCAGAAGATGATAGCTCTGCAACGGTGATATATTTTCTCCAGTTTTCAACAAATATTTCAAGGCATTTCTTAAGGGTCTTTCTATTTAACACGTGCCAGTTGCCTTAAAGCTCTGGTTTTCATCTGAGAAAAAAAAAATCTCAGGGAGAAATTTAGGTATCTAATTGTCTGTACATTTTAAAAGCCCACAAAGTGAATAGGGTCCCTTGTATAGAATACTTCTAAAATGATTTCCTTGCAAGGGACTTTCCCAAATCATAAAGTCATAGCTGTAGAACTGAAAGGGAGCACAGAGGTTACTTAATCCAACTTTCTCATGGTTATATGCAAGGAAATTGAGACTTAGGCAAGTTAAGTTACTTGCCCAGAGGTGCATGGGTATCAGAAGCAGGATATGAACCCAGGTCAAGTCATTTAGAGGAGCTTATTGCATCTAAGCTGTTTAGTCTTAACCCATATCCCTTTAATCTATTGTCATGGAGGAGCCCTTATTTCTATAGATGTTTTTTTCTACTCTTCGTTTGTGTTAGAATCATTGAACTTTAAAGCTGGAAAAACCTTGGAGGTCAATGAGTTAGTCACAAACCTGAACTACAGGTTATCTGACCTGGGTACTACTTCCCAATAAAAACTCCCATGACCCTAACACTTTGAAATTTACAAAGTTCTTTCCTCACAGTAATCCTATAGGGCAGGTAGTTTATTATGTTTCCCATTTTAAATCTTGGGAATCATGCTCCTCATGGTTCAGTGGCACATTCAGACATCCTGCAGCTACACAGAAAACAGTTAAGAAGTGTCAGAATCAGGATTCTAATCCAACGTTCTTGACTGTATGTCCAGAGATCTTTCTACTACAACATACTTTCAAGGCAAGCCCTTTATCAATCAGAATTTTTTTTTTATAAATTTGAAACAGTTCCCTATACATCATAGAAGTGAGACTTTTATCAGAAAAATGTGCTGCAAACATTTTTCTCATCAAACTGCTTCTCTTTTAATTTTAGCTGTACCAGTTTTATTTGTGCAAAATTTTTTCAGCTTTATGTAATAAAAATCATCCATTTTACCTAATGTAATCCCCTCTATCCCTTGTTTTGTCATGAATTCTTCCTCTATACATAGATTTGATTGGTAATTTCTTCCCTGATCCTCTATTTTGTTTGAAGCTTACTCATTTGGAGCTTAACTTGGTATATGGTATAAGATTTTGGTCAATATCTGGTATTTCCCAGACCTTTCCAGTCAATGTTTATCAAAAATCTTTTTTTAAACTCTAACAGTCTTCAGTGGTATTACATAGTTGTGAGTTATGGAATACTATGATCTCTGAAGCTGAGGATCACCCAAAGGGTAATGTAGAAATCACATGGTTGATGTGAACTGGCTTTCAAGTAGGAGAAGGGGCTGTGGAGAGCAAGAAAGAGATTAAAAGTGAGTTAAAAGTTCTCCTGGAACCAGCAGTTAGTACAGGTATAGAAGAAGACAATCTGTCCCTCATCATTTGGGCAAAGCTACCAGGTATGATTATGCTACCCCATTATGACCACAGTTAGAAACAGCACTTATCAGTTTCTGGACCCCAGAATTCAGGCTATTCTGATACCAATAAATAAGCTGTTCCTAATTTGCAGAACACAACTGAGGTCTTCACCACCTTCCCTTTGAAGTCCCACACATCTATGGAAAAATCATATCTGGGACAAGTATCTATATCTAAAATTC